AAAAAATTTTTTTTGGTTTTTATTTTTAAATCATTTTTAGTACACGGTTTTTCTTTCCTCCCCGTCCGCACCCACCCCCCCCCCCCCCGCCCAGGGTTTGAAATGTACAGACTGGATTATTGCCAAGGCTTCTTCCAGCTCTAAGGTTCTAAAGAAAACCAATATGCCAGCTCCTTTTGGAGTCTAACCTGGATGGGTCACTGACTTCACTTGGGTTTTTGAAAGCCACAGACGAGTGCTTCCTCTACACCACCTGCTCCTTCCCCAACAAAACAGGCCCTGTTGTGCAACATCCTTCACTTTGTACAAACAAGACTAGATTTTCCCCAGACAGAATGATTTAGCTTGTTTTAATGTAGTCTGCTATAAAAGTGGATGAAGACTTCTGCATGGTACATTTGGCTTTACAAACGATTTAGTTAATGCTTGTGTTATGTGTCGCACATCCATTATAATCTGTTGAGTAGTAACACAGCTTTCACAACGTGGGTTAATACCGAAATTGTGAATCATGGAACTTTTACTTAGCACACACACAATCTACAGCAAATTTAAATACTAATCTAGAATACCTAACTGGAGTATTGGATCCATTGCAATATTGTGCTTATTTATCTTAGAAGATAGGCAACTAGCAAAAATACACGTTTCTTTTGCATTTCCCCACCCCCATATTACACTGTAAAAGAAATACATTATTCAGTGCATTTCCTAAGAAATAAACCTCCTTATAGTATTTCTCTCTCTATATATATATCTATGCCAAAACAAAGGAAGAGCACAATGCAACTTTTAAGATTACCATTTAAAGCAAGAGAGGTAATAAAACTCTGGGGCTATAGCCCCCTCTCCTGTTTAAAAAGTTCAGCTATTTTATCATCAACACTTCATTTGGCTATGCGTGGGAATAAAATTTCATGCATGATCGCTTGGGCGATTTCTGAGATACCACCTTCATCATTTGGTAGATGCCCTGGGCCATTAGTAGTATTTTAATTTTTTCTGTATTGGCCTTAATCAAACTGTAAGCCCTGGAGACACCAATTGTGATTTATACATTGATTTCCATCACCTGCCTGTCCCCCCATCAATTCGTATTGGATTGGGAAGAAGTAGATTCAAATTATAGCAGGGCAGGGCTTCTGGGTAGACACTGGCTAGGGAGAATGTATGTGAGGACACCAAGGCCTTTCCATCTGTGGACAAATCATATAACCACCTTGTTTGAGCTGGGTTGCAAAGTCTTGTTTGGAAGACGAGGATCCTCATTATATTCTATAGCCTCTGTCAGCTGTACTAGCCTACAAGTTGGAGAGTGGAGGTGTCTGTCCTCACAAACTCACAACGATGCAAATGCTGGAAGTTTCTAGAACGAATGAGGTCGCAACTTGTCAGCTTCTGAGCTAAACCCAGCTGCACAAGTGTTTAACCAGAAGTTTAAAATTGTTTTTGAATCTGTTTTGATATTTAAAAATGAGAATGTTTCTATGAAAATCTGGCTTTCCCCCAGATTTGAGGAGCTGGTAACCCTGGGCTAACACTATCGCACGGCAGCAAGCAGCTGGAGCTCAACAGGGGTGGCCCTTTCCTTTCACAGGGGGCCTGGGCACTTCCGTTTGCTACAGCTCCCCCTCTCCTGGCTGTCTTACAGCGCTTGACTGAGTGACCTGTTTCACTCATTCATTTGGCCAGTGGAGTTTTGTGATGCTGGTGTGAGTTTGGCTCTGGTTTTTCGTGATGCTGAAGACCGGACTTCATTTGGAATTTCCCCACGTCCCCGTGGACAAGGTTCCTCCTTTGACTGATTGGGTCCCAGCTGCATCTAGTTGCTGTGACAGGTAATCTTAATGTGCATGTCTACTCGTCCTTTATGCTATATTGCAAACTCCAAAGATAGAATCACGCTAATATTTATGTGTTTAAGTGTGTGTATGTTAAACACGTAAAGGGGTGTGTATCTATACACATATATATGTATATGTGTGTATACATATACATATATATATGTATGTATATATACATGTATGTATATGTGTACATATATGTATACATATATGTATATATATGTACACACACACACACACACACACACACATTCTTCCATTTAGGGAAAAGTTAATTTGGTTCCACAGATATAGACACCAAGTGTTGGCAGCTCGGAGAAGAAGTGTAATAATATTGGTAAAACCTGTATAATTCTGACTTATAATATTACAAAGAGAGTGACTTTTCAGTTATTGCTTTTTGATTACAGAATAAAGATCTCATTCTGTTGAAAAACTTATACAGAATGAGTAGCCATTTTCTATTCAAGTAATAGCGACTGGAATCAGAAGTTCCTTACACAACAGTAGATGCCCGAAGACATTTTTTGAAAGGAGATGTGATTTCATTCCATTCAAGAATTTATGCAGGAAACTGGGAGTGACTTAATTTTTCAGAAGTACAAGAAAATCGGCACCCCAGCTGCTTACTGCTCAGGAGGGTTTCTCAAGGGCTCTATAAAGCTCAGCTTTGTGGGGAGTCCACAACCACCTTCAGGATTCCCATCCTACTGATGCAGCCTTGTTTCTGGACACAGAGCTTATATTAAAAACAGCAAAAGAGGATTAAAAGCAGTGTTGGTTTTTAACATTCAGGATTCACGGAGGATCTCATTTTCTGCAATTAGATGATCCATTTTGTGTTTTTGCTGCAGAATCACATTCATATGGCAGTCTTATTTCAGGCACTTTTTAAACACGTTCATCTGGAATAAAAATTTACACGAACCACTTTCTGCATAATTCAAAATGAGTGTTGAGCGATTCTAGTCCCAAAATAGCAAATCACCACCTGGTACTCAATTAGCTTTCTCCATCACAACAGGTCGGTGACTGCCGAGCTGGAGATGTCTTTGAGGTGCCCTTCCCGCGTTAGTACAAAGGTGTGAGTCATACAAATCCAAACTACTCGGTTTCTACTTAAAAAAATACAAAAAGGTGAAACACACTAAATGTATTATACAGATGGTTTCAGCTACTATCAAAATAAATAACATGATCTGACTCAACGGTTTGACTCTGAGCTCTTGGACGAAATCTGGTGGAATGTCAGACGTGGAGCCTCCCGCTAGGGACTAGCTGCTGGTAGGCAGAAGGATCTCGACGTCCTTGCCGTTAGCCACAACAGCATTTGAACAGCAGCTGCCGGCTAGGTCTTCTGCGGCGGCCAAGGAGGAGGCCTGGGAAGGGGTTTTGGTCAATGGAGTGGTAGTGGATGGAGAGGGAGTGAGGCCCGGTTTTTTGGGTGGGATGGGAGGCGGGTGTCCTCTCTCAGCTCTGGGGATGGTGGGGGACTTGATCCCTGGAGACAGAGGGCTCAGTGGACTGGACACTTTCCCTGGAGTAGGGGAATGGCTGGTGTCCCCTCTCGAGGTGGCAGTGCTGGCCAGATTCCGATAGTCTGTGCCAAAGGGAGAGCTGTTGGGGGAGACGGGCTTGATCGGCCCTTGCTGGCTAGTGAACCTGGAGAGCACCTGAGTGACTGTGTTGCGGGCCTGCTGCTTGGCGGCAGAGTTGTCTATGAGCGTGGGAGACAGGTCCCTGGATGGAGGGCTCTGCAGACCACTGGCCTGTTGGTCCTGATCTGCTTGGGACTGAAATTTGTGCCGCGCTGCATGGAACCGCTGGTTGATCCCTACTTGGTAGGATGACTGGTAGCCGGGGCTGCTGGCTGAGGACCCCAACAAGCGCTTAGTTAGCACTGGGGAGGAACAAGGAGAGGATGTGAGAGAGGAGGAGGCGGTGCTGCTGGGAGACAGCGAGCCCCCGCTGGACGGGAGGTGACCAGGTGCTGGGACAGGAGTCTCAATTCCCACAGGACACCCGCCATTCTCCACTGCTTTCTCTTGGGCCAACCCCACAGACCTCTCTCGTGGGGGCACTTGGTTTTCCACACTGCTGCCTGTAACCGACTCCTTGGCAGTTTGTATCTCGTGCTCCAAATGGCCATTGGTTTTTGCATAAGAGTAAGTAGGAGTGGTGGGGCCAGGCAGCCCAGTGGTCAGCACCTTGGCTACGTTGCTCCCGTGGGTTCTTTCTGCCTGGAAACCTTCCGTTTGGCAAAATACAGACACCAGCACAGGAGACTCAGTCGCTGTGCCCTTAGATACGGTTACCGGTTTCTTGGATTGCTCAGTAGGGCTACTATGCTGGTGAGAAGCCTCCAGATCCTTCACGATCTTCTTCAAACTTTCCATCTCTTCTTTTAGAGTTCTGGTCCGGTTCTCTTCTCGGTTCAGTTTTGCCCTCAGCTGCTCTCTTTCGATGTCGAACTCAGACAGCTGCTTCTCCACCTGGGCTTCTGTCTGCAAGCCTCGCTTCCGCTCCGCGGCCAGCTCTTCCTCCAGCTGGCTCACCCGGCTCTTCTCCTTCTCCAGTTTCCGGCTCAGCTCTCCCGCCCTCTGCCCCTCCTCGGCTGCCTTGCTGGTGGCTTTCTTGCACTCGAGCACCAGCACGGACGAGAGCTGCTTGTGGCGGGAGCGCTCCTCCTCCAGCTGACTGGACAGCTTCTTCTGTTCCTTCTCAAACTTTTTCACTTGGGACTTCTCAAATTCCAGCTGGAAAAGAAGGCCGCCATACATGGTGATTAGAGTAAGAAAATGAAGAGATACGCTGCAAAACTACTCTCCAGGCGAGTGTCCTGGCTAGCTCTTCTCTGGCACGTGGTCTGCCACGGATGCCATGTGCTTAGCTCCAGTATTTCTGAAGTCTTACAGTCCCTCCCACGGAAATGGACACGCTACGGCTTAATCTTTCCCTGATGGTCGAGGAGGCACTTCTGGTTCCTGTACTGTTATCGGCAGGAATATGAGCCATCATCTGTGTTTTAGGTCTGTGGAGCGCTCAGAAGATTGGAACCCACCGATACAGAAAACAGGAAGCCATATACACCAGGTTTCGCGCTGAATGCTGATGAAAACAGAACGATTTATTGATTTTAACTCTGGTAGAGTGAACACACAGTGTTCTGTGTGTCTCAGGTGTACAATATAGCGATTCAACACTTCTACATGTTACTCAGGGCTCATCACTTTGAAAGCTTTGGCAATCATTCTTTCTGGTCTTAAAAAAGAATAGTTGCATTTAAACGCTACTTGTTATGCAAATGCAGTCTATTTTAATTATCATCCCAACCCTATTTAAGGCAGAGAAACTCTGACCAAGAGGGAAAGTGTTGATGGAACCCTATTAGTCAGTGTTTTTCAAACTCTGAGACCCAATGGATGAGGAAACTAATCTCATGAGCCATGATCAAAATTAAAAAAAAAAAAAAAAAAAGAATGGTTATTGTAACCAGTAAGGGTTATATGGGATTTCATCAGATTTTTGTTTTAGGCATGTGTTTATGTATGTATATATATTGGGCTGTGATATAAAATGTATTTCTTACCAGGATTCCTAGGTCAAAATACTTGAGAGTTTGAAGCTAGTGTTCCAGAGTACATTTTATAGAATGACAGTCCCACAGTGAGTGATCTATGTCAAAACAAGATTCCATGAAAACATAGATTTGCTAAACTCAGAATACCCTATCTTGTTCTTAAGACTCACAATGTGCTTTTCTGTACTACAGGGTCCAACAAATTGAATTAGAGATCTATTTAACTTTGTTTAATCCAGTAATTCCCAGATTTGACCACAAAGCCCTTTCTTTTTGAGCAACACTAATTTCCACCCTGCAGAACGATCTTTGAGAAATGCTATTCCAGGCAAATGGTGTTGTGAGCCCCTCCACCTAACTACCTGCTGGGTCAGCCGCTCTCTCTCCTTCTCCAGCATGTAGGTGACATCATCTCCTTCAGCTGTGTCCTGTGCGTGCCTCTGCCTTTCTTCCTCAAGGTCTAGGATCACCTTTAAAGAATTAAAAAATAATAATATCCAAATAGCAGGGAAACACACTTGTAAAACAATTAAATACTAAGTGCCTATCTAAGCACTTAAGATAGGCCTAGAGATCAATCAGTCCATCCCAGTCAGGGCCATCAAGGATCACATTATCTAGCAGGGTAAAAGAGATGTTAGCTATGTGCTAGAAAACAGTAAGATCTATGCTTTACTTCAACATGCACAAAATGGCATGTATATAGAAGAGAGCACCTAATTAGCTATAGGGATTGAGAAGGTTTCCAAGGATGCAGTTTGCTCTGATTAGGGGATGGGTGTGGGTGACAAAGCAAGGCAGGACCATGGAAAGCTGCAAGCTGAAAGCTGAGATCTTTCCCTCAAGCTCAAATCACTGTGCCTTGCTTAGGCAGTAATACACATTTTATATACAGTTAGCTAAGAGGTGGAAAGACTCTCTGAGTTCTTCCTGCATGTAAAAAGGCTCAACGCTTGGGATCTTATGTGTAGATTTTTCACAAGGCCTCTGATTAACCTGCCTACCCCATTCCATTTATCCTGGCACCAAAGGATTAAGCCCAATTTGAAGGCAAATACTGCACAAATTTAAAGGGACATTTCCCTACAAATCAAAACCACATTGAGATACCACCTCACACTGGTCAGAGTGGCTAAAATTAACGACTCAGGAAACAACAGATGTTGGCGAGGATGTGGAGAAACGGGAATCCTCTTGCACTGTTGGTGGGAATGCAAACTGGTACAGCCGCTCCGGAAAAGTATGGAGGTTCTTCGAAAAATTAAAAATAGAACTACGCTATGATCCAGTAATAGCACTACTAGGAATTTATCCAAAGGATACAGGAGTGTTGTTTCGTAGGGGCACATGTACCCCAATGTTTATAGCAGCACTTTCAACAATAGCCAAATTCTGGAAAGAGCCCAAGTGTCCATCAACTGATGAATGGATAAAGAAGATGTGGGTGGTTTATATATACAATGGAATACTACTCAGCAATGAGAAGGAATGAAATCTTGCCATTTGCAAAAACATGGATGGAATGGAGGGTATTATGCTCAGTGAAGTAAGTCAGCCAGAGAAGGACAGATACTATATGTTTTCATTCATATGTGGGCTCTGAGAAACTTAACAGAAGACCATGGGGGAGGGGAAGGAGAAAAACAGTTTCAAACAGAGAGGGAGGGAGGTGAGCCATAAGAGACTCTTAAATACAGAGAACGAACTGAGGGTTGATAGAGGGTTGGGGGAGAGGGGAAAATGGGTGATGGGCATTGAGGAGGCACTTGTTGGGATGAGCACTGGGTGTTGTATGTAAGCGATGAATCATGGGAATCTACTCCCAAAGCCAAGAGCACACTGTATACACTGTATGTTAGCTAACTTGACAATAAACTATATTAACAACAAAAAAATAAAGTACAGAGTAAAAAAAAATAAAGGGACATTTCCCACATAATCCTACCTATAACTGCAATATTCTGAAAGGCAAGGGATTTCCTAGCAGCTTCTGCTCCTCCTTCAGAGGTGCCTTGGCCCAGACCTCTAAGACAGAGCACTGTCCTCCCCACGACCATTTCTCATCCTATCTCTTCACTAACGGAGGGAGAAAAGTTTCTGGCACGTGAAACTCCTCTTTAAACACAAAATGTTTTCATTTACCAAAATGAAAACATCTTGGTATACTTCCTTCCAATTAAAAAAAAACCCCTAACTTGGGCAACTGGCTGGCTCAGTCAGTAGAGCATTGGATTCTTAACCTCGGGGTTGTAAGTTCGAACCCCATGTTGGGTGTGGGTGTGGAGATGACCTAAAAATAAAACAAAACAAAACAGGGGCGCCTGGGTGGCTCAGTCAGTTAAGCGTCCGACTTTGGCTCAGGTCATGATCTCACAGTTCGTGAGTTCGCGCCCTGCGTCAGGTTCTGTGCTGACAGCTCAGAGCCTGGAGCCTGCTTCAGATTTGATGTCTCTCTCTCTCAAAAATAAATATACATTAATAAAAAAAATTAAAAAACAAAACAAAAACAACTTCTAACTTTTCAATTTAGTAGAAAGACAAGCTTTTGGCTACGGGTGGTAGATCATCTCCTTTCCCTTTGGAGAGCCCTCTAAAATTATAGAAATGGAATGGGTGTTTATCACACCCACAAAGACAGACTGGAGCAGACAAGAAATGTTAAAGGAGGTAAGAAGGCAAGAGGTGGTGGCTCCTTTGGTGTGGGGGAGGAAGCTGATTCGCCCTGCAAGGCCCCAAAGAGGTGTGGAACCTGGAGGCGGCAGGTGCTGCTGAGGAGAGGTCAGATGAGGGATAGGAAACAAGAAGATTGGCTCAAAATCTGTATTTTCCAGGAGTTATTTGTCCCTTCCACCTGATTCCTGTACAAAGAGTATTAGGTGTCTACTGACCAGGCATTAGGCAGATGTTTATCCTCAGAGGAAACTGAACGTGACAGTCTCAGGATTTGGGAATAGCAGATACGACCGAGAGTGAGTAAGGAAAGGGGATTGTTTGTTTTGGGAAGGTGGTAGGGTGGAAAGGGAGGCAAGATGCAAGATAAATCTGCACCTATAATGAGAGGAAGCAATTTAAGTGTCAAGAATTGATAAGGGGGTGGGGGTGCCTGGGTGGCTCAGTGATTGAGCATCCAACTCTTGATTTAGGCTCAGGTCATGATCTTGCAGTTCGTGAGTTCAAGTCCAGCATTGGGCTCTGTGCTGATAGCATGGAGCCTGCTTGGGATTCCCCCTCTCCCTCTCTCTCTGCCCCGCTCCCTCCCTCTCTCTTTCTCTCTTACTCTCTCAAAAATAAATAAACAAACATTAAAAAAAAGAATTGATAAGGGGGGAATGGTATACCATTTAGAAATATGGAATTTACCAACCAAAATAAATGGTCAAAAGGAAAAAAGTGTTGTCTCTGAATATTGAGGAGAAGAAGGAATGGGGAGAGGTGGATCAGGGAACTCTGTGTTTCATAATAAGCAGAGTAACCATATAATTTACTGTTCAAACCACAACACTTCTGAGAGTCAAAGGGGGTATTCTTAATGACTATCCCAAGGCGATAGACAACAACTGGGACTCTCTCAGGCAAACAGGGCCAATAAACACTCTAATTATAAGCCCCTAGGTACTACTGAATTTGTAACAAAGTCAGTGTTTTACTTTGATAAAACACTTAAAAAAGACAGGTGGTTGATTTAAAATATTTGACACTCACTTAAAGGAACTTACGTTGAAATATAGTATTAAAGAATTTTGAATTATTTTTAACTTCTTTCTCTCCCTAATCACCTAGAGCCACAAATCATCCCAACACCACACCTTTCATGGGCATCATGGCCAGCCAGCCATTCAGCACAGTTCAACTGCTTCATGGAGGAAAGGGGAAAAAGGCCTGCCTATCAGACAAGGATGCTGTGAAGCCTTTCGTAGAGGATTATGTAAAAGCCCCCCAAATTTAGGCAACTAACCCAAATGCACTGATACATTAAAAAAATTTTTTTTACTATTTGTTTATTTTTGACAGAGAGAGAGAGAGAGAGAGAGAGAGAGAGAGAGCATGAGCGGGGGAGGCGCAGAGAGAGAGAGGGAGACACAGAATCCGAAGCAGGCTCCAGGCTCCCAGCTGTCAGCACAGAGCCCGACTGGGGCTCAAACTCACAGACCATGACCTAAGCCGAAGTCGGACACTCAACTGACTGAGACACCCAGGCGCCCCGCCCCCCGCCACTGATACATTTTAAATTGGGCATAAATGTCTTTAGTTCACTTCATTCTAGACCAGAGGTTAAACTCTTCTGTGTCCCAGACAATTCTGAGAATTCAATTAAAGATATGGGAAAAAATTCACATTCTACAAAAATGCATAAACTTTTGGCATTCTGTATATTTTCTGGAGGATCATGGAACATCTGAGGCCCATCCATGGTTAAGAATCTCTGCTCTGGCCTTTCATTTGGACACTGTGAAGAGTAAGAAAAATCATGGGCAAGACCTATGCTGAAGCAATCTGTCAGGTGCGTTTTAAGCAGATGGCTCTCTAATGCAGGCAATCATAAAAGTAAACTAAAGTTCATCAATTTGCAGCCACTGACCCCATTTTTCAGAATAAAATGTTTCCTGCTAGATGTGTTGATGTCTCCCTTGCTGGTATAAATCTAAACCAATACTTTTAGAAAATGTAGATTTTAGCCAAGCACCTTTTACAGGCCAGATTTCAGCGGTAAATGACAGGTTGGGGAATAAAATCATAAGCATTAGAATTCCAATGAGATGAGGTAGAGGAAAGCACAGGTCTGCCTTCCTAGCTCGGGGCTGTAAGACCGGGAGCCAAACACACACACACACACACACACACACACACACACACACACACACACACACACACTTTCCTAATAGGTTCGAACAGCTTTAAAGTAAACAATTCTAGGGACTGTTTATCATTTTACGAAAAGTAAAATGCAATGAAACTCAAAAGTAGGAACACATGGAAATAATCTATTGGCTTCCATGTTTATAGTCAGGTAAATTCTCTCCCTCATCCAGCATTCCCCAAATACCTGCTCATCTTGTTATTTATCACTTAAGTAAGCAAATAGGGAACACTCTGTTCACCTACAAGCTTGGTCAGACCCGTTTGTTGCCCAAGTCTGGACGATCAAGAGCTGAAAAAACATAGCCAGTGTTTTGGAGTGTCATATCAAGAAGGAATGCCGTCTTTAGTAATGTGTCTGGCATCCTCCCTAAATTTAACATTTTGAATAACTTGTGTTTTCTTTCTGATCTCTTGGCTCTGGGGTAAGCTGTGGGGCTTTTGACACCCAGGAGACCTCCCAGCTGACTTGCTGTGGAAACTGGCAGCTGACAAGAAAGTATCTGGTATTATTTATCAAGTCTTCCTAAGAGTTTATGTGGCACAGGTCAGCTGGATGAACCCACCTTCCGGTGCCTGCTCTCGGCCGCGGCCAGCTGGGATAGCATGCGTTCCTGCATGTTCTTGCATTGCTTCATCACCACCTTAAGAACAGAGAGTGGGTTTGTGCAGACCGGCTGCTTCTCGCCTTCATTTTTCTCCTTCAGTGTTTCAAAGTCTCTCTGCAGGGCCATTAAAGGATCACTGATGTTGTATTTTCCATAGCGTTCTTCAATGAAAGTATCTCTGTGTTGGGCCTGGGAAAGAGAAAAACATCAGCATTTTGCTTTTTAAAACTATTGCAGAGGGAGAATTGCTAGTTGTTACACATTAAAGGTGGTGGTGGTAGTATGAATGGAACCTGCTGACTACAGATCTCATTGGTGCTTGAGCCATCTGAACGTAGAAACAACAGTGGAGAGGGCACGGTATAACATTAACGAGGACAATTACTTATGTAGAGCTAACTATGCATTAGACATTGTTGTAAGCATTTATATTCACATTAGATTATTTAAATTTTATAAGCCTATAAGGCAGGGCTATCATTTTCAATTTGCAGGTGAGAAAATTATTAAACAGTGGCCAAGTAACCTGTTCCAGGTTCCTCATTTAGCAAGTGGTCAGAAGTAGGATTTAGGGGCGCCTGCGTGGCTCATTTGGTTAAGCATCCGATTTCAGCTTGGGTCATGGTCTCACGGTCTGTGAGTTTGAGCCCCGTGTCAGGCTCTGTGCTGACAGCTTGGAACCTGGAGCCTGCTTTGGGTTCTTTGTCTCCCTCTCTCTCTGCCCCTCCCCCATTCACACTCTGTCTCTCTTTCAAAAATGAGTAAATGTTAAAAAAAAAAAATTTTTTTTTTTTTAAAGCAGTAGGATTTAAATCCAGGCAGCCTGGCTCTAACGTCTATGTCCTTAACCACCACGCTACTGCCTCTGCTTATGAATGCTTGTACTACCAGCAGGTAGTTTATGAGTTTACATATTTAGGGATGTAACAAGGCAGTTGTAGATAAGTAAAGGACACTAAAAGTGTTTTCACATTATGACTATTTGTGATTTGAACACTCAGTTATTGGTGGGTCAAGAGGGTGGAGGCACTCACAACCAGGTGCAGACAAAATCCCTTCTACCTGCTTCCAAATTCTACCCTTTCCTCTAGTCTCTGTTCAGCTGCTGTCTGCCACCTTCCTTTTTGTCCCCCTCAGGCTTGGTGGGCTTCAGGCTTGAGAGAGAAGGTGCGTAGGGAATGGGGGCTGAAATCTGCTTTAGGGCCTGGGTTGCCAAGTTGGGTCCAAGGATCAGGAAGGGAGTAGAAAGAAAAGTCTTTGGCTTCCCTAGTCTCAGCTTTACTAGGAGGGACCTGAAGTCATTACTTCATAAGAGCATCATAGATTACATGCAGGTAACAGAGTGACATTAACAATTCCTTTACTACACAGACTTGGAAACGTTTCCTGGGACATTTTACAACCAAAAGCAAAAATGAGGTGTTAATACAGCATTGAGGAAACTTTCTCAAAAACCACAGCAAAGTACTATATAATTTAAGCTTTCAAATGAAGTCTAGTCATAAAAACTACTGTCATTTATCAATGTTTAGAAATTATTTCATCAGAAGCAGGTTTTCTTTCTCTTTTCTTCTTTATTTTTAGGAGCTAGGTTTTCTTACCACCATCATCCACAAAGAGGAAATCATTTGAAAAAAAAAGGGAAATTCACAATTCAATGGCTATGCTTAAAAAACAAAACAAAACAGAAAACAACCTCCCCCCACCCCCGACAATAAAGCAAAACGGGGTTTAATACAGAAGAATGTTTCAGTGCTGAAAAGGTGATGCTTCCTTCGTTAGACTATCCAAGATCAAGATCCAGGAATCACTTAGCCTTATGCTCTAAATTGTGTTGGTATCACCTGGCAACTGTTCAAAGCAGCGTTAGAAGCCCTGTATTCTAGCTTGACTACAACCATTTTAAATGATGACATTATTGGGGTATTTGGATAATACTGGTATACTGAAAATATGAAGAGCCAAATAAATCCTGTTCCTTTAAGGTACCATCTCAAGATAACCACCTTCCTGACCATACTACAGGTTTGTGTGCATGCACGAGTGTGCGCGTGTAAGCATGTAAATTAAAGGGGTAAAGATTTGAAAGATTGAGTCCAAGACAGAATCCTAGTTTTTCAGCTCCCAATTAAAAAGCAAATCCTCAGTAAAATTTTGAAATAGTCTCTCTACCATTTTAGGATGGAGAAAGACAAGACCAATTCCTGAACTGGCTATTTTTACTTTTTAAGTCATGGTGAGAACAAAACAGAAAAGGCTAGTTTTTAGTTACACTTTTAAAAGAAATAGTGTCAAACAGCAGGGACTCATCAATGTTTTCCTTTCACCAAGAACATCTGTTTAAGTTGAGCGGTGCTTGGGTGGCTCGGTTGGTTAAGTGTCCGACTTTGGCTCTGGTCATGATCTTGCAGTTCGTGAGTTCAAGCCTTGCATCAGGCTCCATGCTGTCTGAATGGAGCCCACTTTGGATTCTCTGTCTCCCTCTCTCTCTGCCCCTCCCCTGCCTGCACTCTCTCTCTCTCTAAAAAAAATAAATAAACATTGGGCGCCTGGGTGGCTCAGTCGGTTGAGCGTCTGACTTCGGCTCAGGTCATGATCTCAAGGTTCGTGAGTTCAAGCCCCGTATCAGGCTCTGTGCTGACAGCTCAGAGCCTGGAGCCTGCTTCAGATTCTGTGTCTCCCTCTCGCTCCCTGCCCCTCTCCCACTCATGCTCTGTCTGTCTCTCTCTCTCTCTCAAAAATAAACATTAAAAATAAATAAATAAACATTAAAAAAAAACAAAAAAGAAGAACATCTGTGTTGAGTTTTATACCTCAAACTTGAGTTTGACAACCTAGGTATTAATGTCCTAAGGCAAATCCAGGTTCAGAAAAATATTTAGACAAAAGAAGAGGAAAAAACCTTTAAAAAGTTGAAATTCCACTGTTCTTACCGCACATTGTTTTATTCATGATTTCCATTTCTGTCTGATTAGTGATGGTAAAGAAATGATTATTAGTACTGAAATTGGTTTAGTAGGGCAGAAAGGCAAACGTAAACCTGAATATTTCTATGGCTTTCTCCTTTTCAGAATAGCACAGAGAAGAAAAAGTGGGATGGGAGAGCAGAGCTGGGAGTACGATTCGTGACCTTGACAGATTTGCTGAGAAGCTGTCTCTCAGGTTTGAGTATATAGTTAACTAATCCCTGAAAACATGACTTTAAAAAACCCACACTGTTATTATCCAGTATAATTAATAAGCATCACTGAGTTACAAGTCCTAGACGAGGAGCTTCTTTGGTAAGGTCTCAGACTTCTCTGAGAACAGCTGTTACCCTGTCTGTTTTCTCTTGAAGTACTTCCCAGCAATTCCATAATCGCTTGCATGGTAATTACAAGTTATGCAAAATTGGTGGCTTTGCACATAAATGAAAAGAATCTGTGGAATAATCTAAAAAAGCCTCCTTGTCACAAAACAATTCTTGTAGGCAGGTTCTACTATGGGGCCCAGATATGGGAAAAGTGAATTTGAAGTCTGTATTTATTATACCAAACACTGGATTAGAAAATGGGGGAATACGGTCTTTTTCAGCCAATTCAATGCCTCAGTCAGGTAAGTGGTATGGATGACAGGTTTAATAGAACAATTAACCAAAAACAGATGTTAAGAATTGAAGAATGAAACAGCTTTACTGGAGGTGTGTACTAGGTATCTATTCCTGCCTAACAAACCACTCCCAAATGTAGCAACTCAAATAGTAAACGTTGTTGTTGTTGTTGTTGTTTTTAAATGTCACAGTTTCTGAGGGTCAGGAATCTGGAAGGGGTTAAGCTGGGTGGTTCTGGCTCTGTGTCTCATGAGGTTGTAGTCAAGCTGTTGGCATAGGCTTTGGTTCCTTGCAGTGTGCTGGCTTCCCACAGAGCAAGTGACATGACAGAGAGAGAGAGAGAGAGAGAGAGAGAGAGACGGAGAGACGGAGAGACGGAGAGACAGAGATGGACATGCGAGTATCTTTTAGAACTTAACCTCAGAAGTGACATACCATCACTTCTGATGTATTCCATTGGTCACACAGACCCACCTGGTACACGTGGGAGGAGACTGCACAAAGGGTATGAGTATCAGGAGGTGGGATCATTGGGGGCCCTCTTGGAGGCTGGCTACCACAAGAGGAATGACTAGAAATGCTACCTCAATTGTTTACATCTCAAGTCAAAATTTAGAGACCAAGTATCTACTAAGTACTAAAAACTGTCAAGGCTGAGTTTTAATACTCTAATGATATTTCAGCTATTTTATAAGAAATTTTAAATGATCTGGATTGGAGTTTTTGGAGGAGGAATTCAGTAATATAGCTAAAATCAATCAATTTCTGCAATTTCATTATTTTCACTTCACTGACAACATGTATTTTAACTGAAGAGAAATTTCTACATTGTCAGAAAACATAATGGTCTTTAATTTCAGACAACAGGAAGATAATTGGCTGGTTAGACAGATTCACTGATAAAAGGTATTACTACAGCAGACAAAACATACAGTCATCTGTTACTCATTTTTCCTGTCATAGGCGGAATGAAACACACCAATACTGAAAGCTTAAAGTAAAATCATATAATGTCCTTGGAGCCTGCCATGCTCGCTCTCTAAAATTATCAGCTTTGCTATGATAAACTTCAAAAAGAAATATGAAGCAGTCACCTCCTCTCCCCTCCCCAAGATTATTTATACTATTTTAAATATATATATTATACATTTTATCATATATAATAATGTACATAAATAGTATAATATAACACATGAAAATAATACTATATATATGGCATAATAGCATACTATTATAGTAATATATAAGTGTGTATGTGGATATCTATCTATCTATACATTTTTTTCCAATCGTAAAATAGGAAATCATTATTCTTTGGATGATAATCACCAAAATAAAGGATGGTTCCATATCGAAAAGTGAAGATAAGGCCTACTTAACTGGGGGTTTACATTCAAGTATGAGTTTTATTTAAGACTCAGGCTGGAACCCTAAATGGATTAGGATACATCTTTGCAATTTATTGCCAATTCTGAAGTGATCAGCAATATAAACTTTGTGCCTTTAAAAATATCTGAATACCTCCATTGCCAGAGACCAGAAAGACCAAAGAACATGATTCCAGGATGGTTTTAATTAATGCTACAACAAAAGCATGTTA